TAGGAGTTCAGGGTTTTGGGGTTTTGGGTGCAGTTGTTTAGGGTTTAGGGTTTAGGGTATGTTTCGTCTGGATGTGAAAGCAGGTTCTAGAGGTTTGAGCACTTAGGAATCATATGACCTCCTGAATAACTGATGTAACCCCTCATGCCTAATAGCATCAGTAGTAGTAGTTGTTGTTGTGGTGCTACAGCCGCTACTGCTAATCTTAGTCTCTAACTTATTGTTGAGGCCCGTGCAGTGTACAGTGGTAGTTGTTTTGGTTGAACGGGAAGGGGAGGGCGGGCGTCCACACATCTACACGTCTTGCACGACCTGACTGCCATGTTTTCATGAAGCTTGCTGCGCGCTTTGGGGATAGGGTTTAGGGCTTTGGTGCATAGGTTTGCCCTGGTGCTTTTGTCGCGCCTCTGCTTCCAACGAAAACACATACATAGCCGCTGCTGATCAAAATGGTGCTCCACCCCAATATATATAGTGCAAAACACTCAAACTCCATACGGGTGGTTGTCAAACTTAGGGTCCCTTTTTGGGTCCCTAAGAGAATACGGCACCTAATATTTAGGGTACCCAAAAAGGGGCCATAATTTTGACAACAACCCATATGCCAGAGGCGTCTTCTGCTATGATGTACACCAGTGGAGCTACTAAGTTAGGGTGTAGGGTTTAGGGTTTAGGGTCTGGCTCCACTGGCTATCGTTCCTCAACCCTCACCCCGACACCTGAACCGCCGCACTCTCAGACCCTATAGCTTCAAGTTATCTGAAATGCTGAACCCCTCATAATCCTGAGAGACAGATCCGCCACCCCGAGCCCCAGATCCTAAACCGAAAGCCCCAGAAGCCTCACTCTCATGCCCAGGCCCACGGACTCTCCAGTGTCGGCGCCGGGGTCCCAAAGCACGGGGTAAACACAACTCTGATCGTATGCACTTTGTGATCATGGGCTTTCGGGTTTTGGGAAGTTGACTTTTCTTTGCCACCGTCACATGTCCCGAGCGTCTGAGCGAGGGCTCCTGTTTCATGCCCTCTTAGTTGAGGTTGTATTCTTGTACCGGATCTGTTTTTTGTTGGAAGTTGCCAGCACCACGGCCTTGAAAGCAAAACCATGCCCCACGGATGCCCAAAGCTGGGGGCGTAAGGCAACACAAAGACTCCGAAGCCCCAATCCTCAAAGCCTCCAAGCCACGATAAGCCGCGAGTAGTCACGGCGTAGTCGCCATTTTATTCATGCTTGTACTTAGTGTTGGGGGTTTATGTACGAAAAGAAGACGCCAGAAAGCCCAATTTATACCATCGAAGAACAGGTGGAGAGTCTCCGGGATGCTTTGGAATCCTGGGGCGGGCTGCCCAGTGGGTTGGGTTTAGGGCCATTTGCTCTTGCTTCTGCAGCCCTCAAACCTAAATCGTAAATCCTCAAACTCAATATTCAGAAACCGAAAATCCCTAAACTCCAATATTCAGAAGCCGCAAATCCCTACACTCCAATATTCACAAACCTCCGCATATGGTTGGACTGTCTACGGCTGGAAATCAACTTCTCGGTTTCGGGCGTTTTAGACTGTAGGGCTTCCCCTAACCCCGGACAACCTACCCTTTTTTAAGGACCTATACCAGTATTTTTCTTAAGGACTTATACAATGAAATTATGCGCAGGAGCGCCAAGAAGGTAGGTTTCTCAAAATCTAGGTATAGGCTGTACTTGTATCTCCAAGGCCTCTAGCTATGACGCAGTCATGACCGGTAACGTGATCTTAGCAGTAGGTTATTGGATGCATCTAGCCTTACAGGGTTGGAGGTTATTGGTTTAAATGCCAGTTTCTCATTCTGTTGTGAAAGTCCTTAACTTTTGAGAGAGATAGGCTCAGGGTTATAGCCATTGCATTTAATAACAAGACATTACATGACAAATAACTTGTCCTCTGTCCCTATCTCTCTTTGTCTCTCTCCTTGTCTCTCTCCCTCTCCCTCTCCCTCTCCCTCCCTTGCTCTCTCGCTCTCTCGCTCTCTCGCTCTCTCTCTCTCTCTCTCTCTCTCTCTCTCTCTCTCTCTCTCTCTCTCTCTCTCTCTCTCTCTCTCTCTCTCTCTCTCTCTCTCTCTCTCTCTTCACTAATATAATATGTATAATAAAAAAAAAAATATATATATATATATATATATATATATTATGTAGACGTTGACGGGGCTTCGGGTTCAGGTTCAGGGTTTAGGACTCTGGGGCTCTAGGGTTTGGTGGTTCGGGTCGGCGCGGGGACTTTAGGAACTTCGGGGATTCAAGAGGTTTTCGGCTTGGAGGTGCCCTAGACCCTAAGCCCTAATTAAACCCTAAACCCTAAACCCAGCTAGAGAGCTTGCAGCGTAAGGTGGGGAGATCAGGGCGAAAGGTTTTGGGGTTTATAGCGTTCAGGATCGAGGGCTAAAGGTTAGGTGGTGTCGGGGCTGTGTGGGTTTGGAGGCTCAGGGTCTCTAGAACTCTGTATATATATATATATATATATATATATATATATGTATATATATATATATATCCATATGCCGAAGCCATATGCCGAAGCCATGAAGTGCACCACGGTTAGCAGTTCCGCGGTCAGCTTCTGCAGGCGCAGAGTGGAACGGCTTCATCAGCGAATGGGCCGCCGGCTCTGAGTGTGTTCCGGTGTTAGGGGTGGTTCCCGATGGTCTTTCTACTGCAGTCGCTGCGTTGTCTCAAGGCTTTTGTTTTAAGACGGGGGTCTATTCATTGATCACTCTCCTGACTCTGTAGGGAGTTTTGGTAGCCGGGTGTGACGAAGCCGGATCGGCTTCAGAGTAGGGTTTAGGGTTTAGGGTTCAGAACTTAGGGCTTGCAGAGTTTGTGGTTTGGGGTTTCGGATTTAGGGTCTGTAAGGTTTATGATTTCTGGTTGTAGGGTTTAGGGTTTGTACGGCTTTCGGCTTATGAGGGTCCAGTTTAGGGTTATAGTGTAGAAAGCCGCGTTTTTGCAGGATGTATAAGGCTCGGACGCTTGGGGCGAAGAGTTTTGGGGTTAGGGCGCCAGTAGCGTTCTTCACCCGAATAGCACTTATAGACGTCACACCCGAAAGGACGTGTTATTTGTACACTAGGAGTGTTTGTTTTCATGAAGGATTGCAGTGAAAATTTTGGGAGGGAGCGAATCGCATGAGTACGAGCTGAAATGATAATCACATGAGCAAAACCATCATCCTACACACTAAACACGCGGCCTCGAATCCTATAACAGCCCTAAACAACAATCATACAATTCAAACAAGCAAGAGAACCTTGCCCGATCCCGTAGTGTAGCCTGTAGAGGAATTCTTACGCCCCTAAAGCTGCGGAAAAGCCCGGCTCTGTAATCCCCAACTCCCCAAAGCCTTGTAGAACCCATATTGCTCCAGGACCCTCGTTAAACCACAAACCCTGCAACAGTAAACCCCAAAGCTCAGAGCGTTCGACGCTTCCAAGGATTGGCAGCACATCGCCAGACAGCTCTTGGAGCTCAGTGAGGAGTTCATGGCTACCCAGAGGGTCAAAAGTTCCTATGTAGTAGAAGGTAGGATTTCTTTATCAGGAGTTACGATTAGGATTTGGGAAGGTGATTATCCCCCGTCACAGTACCTAGGACCCTTTGGCCCTTTGGGATATACAGAAGTAGATAAATGCATGCACAGCTACATAGACATGCATATATTGCATCTGTGCGCATTCATGTATGCGTGGCCTCAACGCCGTGAAGAACTGATCGTGTCAGCCTGAAGCCCCCTAGCCCTTACGCCCTAACTTCGAGACCTTACACTTAAACTTTTACAGGATTCTGAACTAAACCCCCGGTACTAAACCCCCTAAACCCTAAAGCCCATGATAAGCCTTGCTTAACTGTGCCTTGGGCATTAAACCCTGGCGGCCTAAACGCATCCCTACATACTATATTTCAACCCTTAAATCAGAACGATCAGGGTTCCAACTGTCTCTTGGCCTTTGATCTCAAAGCCCCGTGTTCAGTTGTAACGTAGACCCCCGCCTGATCACTTACCCCTAAGATTAAAGCCCCCTAATATGAACACAACTCGCCGCCAGGAATTCGCGGTTTCGGGCCTACAATTGAAAGTTAGTTAAAAGCACTAGGGGGAGCTAGGATTGTATGAGTTTTAATCGAGCCAAAGGCTACCACAGTACTAACTACGAGTCAGACCGAAGAGACCAGAGCTTCAGGGTTTAAGAGTTTAGGGATTCAGGGCTAAGGCTTTCGGGCTTGGGGCTTCAGGGCTTTAGGGCTTTAGGGCTTAAGCTTTAGGGCTTTAGGGCTTTACGGACTGACGAAGTACTGTCAACCCGACTCACACCCAGCTGCACTGAAACCCTCCCTAATATGAAAACAAAATCAATTCCGATTATGAACGTTGCCTCTTCAAGCCTGCACCGAGAAACCCCAACCCTAAAGCCACAAACCCTCGCCTCTGAATATCGAGGTCTAGAGCCCTAAGCCCGGAATACGGGGAATGTACCCTCAATAGGTTCTTCACTACAGATCCCCCCAAAAGGGATCCAAACTTGAAGAAACCCAATGTAACTACCCAGCCAAAGACTTTGGAATCCCAGATTCCGAAGATTCGTCGTGGTATTGGCTGCACAGCTGTCGAACTCTAGAAGGTTAGCGGCGGCGCAACAGACAAAACCCTCATAAGCACCAAACCCTAAAGCCCTATAGAGATCCGGTTTTCCCATCCAGAAACCTTCTTCTCCCGTGAGAAGGCCATAATGAGCCCATGAGCTCAACCAGCGTTTGGAGCTGCAGCATTGAGAAATAAGCCCCACTAGTACAACCCCGGATAGTATGACCCTTGCTCTAGTAAGGACGCCTTGCCGTGTGCAGTGGAAATTTCCCAGAACAAGAGCTCTTCTATGAAGATCCCTAGATGGGAACCCCATTACTTGAAGAAGCTGTGTAGGTTGTCATGCCGATCGTTCTGGATCGCCACCTCTTAGGCAAATAGGCAACACGCCATGGCGCCCGTGGATGACATCGACGATGCGTGCGAAGGCACCGGCGCTTTCGGTTTAGGGCTTAGGGAGTTTTGGGTTTTGTGTAGTTGTAACTAACCCTGGGGATCAAAGTAGCCCAAAAGCCTTAAAACATGAGTCCTTAGAGCCCTAGGGTAAGAGTTGGGGTTTTGTGTAGTTGTAACTACCAAACCCTAAACCCTAAACCCTAAGAGGGCTTGAGGATTCAGGCTCAGAGGCCTTTGAGCTGCTTGGGCCTAGCGATTCAATTCGGGCTTCTTTTGCGGATGAGATTTAGGCAACTTGTGGCGGTGAGAAGATGCCGTCTCAGCCCGAACGGCCGAACCTCAAGACCTCCACAGCCCTGTGTTGAATTCCATGCCTGGCAACTACAACATTTTCAAAGCAGGTCAAATCTCGGTTGCAAGGGATCTTAATCCTGAACCACCGCAGACCCCACGCTGCACATACGACCAAGAGAGCCATCGCTGTCTAGGCGCTTCCGCCAGCCAGGTGAAGCACCTAAACCCTTAACACGACTGAACCCTAAGCCCTAAACTCTATACCCTAAGCCCTAGCCTTGTGCTTTTCCTCAGGTGAAGCACCTGCCGCCGATGCTCCAGCAGAGGAGGAGGAGCAGGAGGAGGAGGAGGAGCAGGAAGTGGTGAAGACGGCATCCGGCTGGGAGGACTTCCTAATATAGGGGCCTGAATAGTCTGACTAGAGTTTCGAGTCTCGAGGGTATATTATAGTATAGTTGTATCTAAACTTAAAGCGGCCAGAAAAACTAGCAATGGCTTCTTAGTTGTAGTACATATAACAGATGATTTGTATCAAGATGTACGAATACCCTTCGCCATATATCAACGTATAACATGGGATGCCTAAACCAATTTTGGTAAGGGCTTGTATGAACCAAAGAAGGAATCTCATAAGGGTAGGTTGTTGAGGGTGCAGGTAAACCCTGCGCCCAGGACGTCTGCAACTTGATGGGGTTGCAATACTTGCTACTGCTTCCCCTGCCGTTGGTTAGTGAGTTTAGTGGTTTCGGCTGCATCTGTTGCTGTTGCTGCTGACTGAGGATGTGGGTTCAGGGTTCAAGGTTTTGCTGTTTCGGGTGTCCAGTTTTGTGTTTAATTATGGATCAATGTCCCAAATGACTCCACACCACCCAGCCTCACACACGGCAGATTGACCCTTCCCATAGGCAAGAAAGATCCACATTGAACCCTGAATACCTTCATGAAGCCTTCTAGAGCACGAAACCCTATACCAAACGATGTCTTTTGACGCCTTTTCTGCCTGGGAAGATTAACCTCTGAGAATATCATTACAATTGAAGCGCAGCAACAGGCTGTCAAGCCGAAGCAAGCCGAATAACATCCGATGGAACCCTGAAGCAAAGGACGCCCTACGGGTCCAAGCACCGAGCATTTAGCGTATGGGAGTACAGTGGGTTGTCATACCAGCTACCATCCAGAGATATTGCGAGTCTAGTATTGAGGACCCAAAATTCAATACCCTTCCATTTGGGTGTAAATCTAAACCTTCAACTCTCCAAAGTAGGCTAAATACCTATAGACGGCCATTATTCTATATACATACTCTTGGCATCCAGGAAACCCTTCACCCTAAACTCTGAAACAACCCTCCCTAAACCCTAAACTCTGAACCAACGCTCCGATGCCTGAGCCCTGCCAGGAGATGATGGAAGGGAAGATCCGATCCTTGACGGCAGACGGTTCGTTCCTTTTGAGGCTTTAAAGGATTCCCTCTAGGGGTTCCGTTCCAGGATTCCTTTTAAGAGTTCCTTTCGGGGGTTTCTTTAAAGGGTTCCTGTCAACGGTTCCTTTGAAGGGTTCCTTTCAAGGGTTCCTTTTAAGGGTTCCTTTTAAGGGTTGCTTGTAAGGTTCCGGAAAGGGTACTTTGAGGGTCCTAGGGTTTGCTTGGGCTCAGGGTTTGGGGGTTCAGGGCTAAGGGCTACAAGCTAAGGGTTTTACGGCTTTATTATGGCTTTTAGGGTTTGTGGTCTTAGGCTTATAGGGGCCGTTAGGGTTTGGCGCCTTAGGGTTCGGAAGTTGTTCCCAAAGCGCTTTTTATATCGTTTTATACAGTTTCAGGGCAGCCCTTTTTCACTTAGAATGGGGTTTGTAGGTAGAGTAGGTCGAGTACAACTAGGTGGGGACTGTGACTCGGACCCTCCATTCGCAGTTGTGAGTTGTTCCATGTCTGGTTTACACGGCAACGCACAACCTCATCTGAATGAACCCGAGCCATGAGCATCCAATCCCTTCGCGTGGCATCCAAGTTCGCTGTTCATGCTGCGCTGTCGGCACTGCTGGATATGGAGCAGTCGGATGTTCGGGGGTTGACTCATTGGGAATCCTGCTTCTGCAGCCTCGGGATATCCCGTGGTGTATCCCAAGCTGTAGCCCCTTAAAACCATGCCTTCCATGCATGCCTCAACCAGAAGCTCTTTGAGCCACGAAGCCGTCCAGGCAAGCGGGTGATCAAAGAAGGCAGCGGCGACTATCCCGAGCTTGAGAACGACATCTTGTGTACCGTCGAGGCATGGAAAATCCTAAACCCTCTAAACCCTCAACCCTAAACCCTGTGCTATGGCGAGGTAACTCAAGGCTCTTGTGGGCATGTGTCAGTTCTGCGCGTGGATTCGGGCTTCCTGTCAGGGGCACTGGTGACAACTATGGCACAACCCAGAGGATCCAATGTGCCCCTCTTGGGGATTCGCACCCAAACCGCAGTAGTAGTTCGCACTATATGGAAACCCTTCATTCTACTCTTTAGGTACTCAGGACCCTGCCGTCTAATATATATATATATATATATATGTATATATATATATATATATATATGTATATATATGTATATATATATATATATATATATATATATGGGAGCCTTCTCAAGGAACCCTTTAGAGGGGTTCCTTAAAAGTTCCTTGAGGGCTCCTTTAAAAGGGATCCCTTAAGGCTTAAGGGCTCCTTTAAGGGATCCCTCACCTGGAGACGCCAAAATCCTGGGCCTCCGGGGATCCTCAAGACTTGCGGCTCCAGGTCTAAAGTAAAAGCCATTTTTGCAGCTCATATGTAGAATCCTATAAGGTAATCCCAAAAAGCCAGAAAGTTGGAATATGATTATCCTAACCCTTCTATGGTAAGTTATAAGGTATCCTACCCTGAAACCATATTCCAACTTTCTGGAGTTCCCTTTAAGGGTATCTCTGCTTACAACAAGTGATGCCGGTTGTTTAGGTGCCTGAACATTTGGGAGCTTCCGGAAATTAGGAGTACCAAGGATCCTACTACTTAGGGTACTATATTTGGGTCCCCTATTTTCGGAAACCTCCATTTAGCAAGAAGGATGATGAATAAGAACGCGTCATTAACATCCAGCACGAAAATCCCAAATCCTTAGCCTATATCGGCTGTGACACTTTGAATGCCCTGCAGCCTGTGCTGTCAGGTGCGGGTGCAGGGCTCCGAGGAGAGGGGGGAGGCTATGATATTTAGATTTAGTAGGGTTTGGGGTTTAGCGGTTTCGGAGTTTAGGGGTTTGAGGATTTAGTTTCACATTTTTCGGGCCCGTGTCCGTGTAATAGGAAGCCTACTCAGTTACTCTGTAGACTTAGGTACAACAGGGCTAGCTGCGGTGGTCTAGGGCGCTATGTGTGCAGTTAACAAATTATAGTCTGTGTATATATATATATATACATATATATATATATATATACTTCGGCCTAACAGGCACTCCTGAATTGATACTTGCAGGATCAGGGGCGTTCAGCAAGGAGCTTCTAAGTAGGGTTATTAGAAGCCCTTCACCGGGGCTACTTTACCCAGAACCCAATGCTCGTAATCTACTTACTACTTCCCCTGAGCCTTCACGTACTTCAGCTGGGTCCAAATATGTCCTAGTCAGGATCATGCTTGGACCTTCGTCTTTTGTTGGTTCTGATCAGAAGCTCTTGTCGTAAAATACACACCAAGGCACCCAAAGCACCTACGAAAAAACCCAAGGCCCTAAACCCTAAGCCGAGCCTTAAACCGAGGTTAGGGTTCTTGGTTCTGGCATTTGCGGGTCAGAGTGTGGGATATGGGCCTGACTACAGGTCTTCACTGTATAAGGTAGCCAGCATACAGGGTACGTCAGGGCGCGAAGCAAAGTCGCAGGTGTTGTAGCATAGGAGCCCGTGCGACAGGAGTTGCTGCAGAAGCGAAAGACCGTTCGCTACAGAATAGGTGGGCATGTCTCGTGTGCACAAGTTTGATCCTGAACCTCTAAACTCTATAACCCCTCATTGCCATGTAGGGTTTACCCTGAGGACCCCAACCTATCTAAGCACGCTAAGCCCTGTAAGTACCGTACACCCGAAACTCAACCTGGACCCAAATTACCAAAATGCTTTGTCGGTCTATTGGCTGTTTGACCCCGGCGGACCCTGAGCAAGGCCCTAAGGGCCCTTTCATGTATCTCGTGGGTTGCTCAGTTCTGGCTTTTACAAGGTCTGCTTTAAGGATGCAGGTTTAGGTCGTAGGGCTCACCTAAACCCCCAAAGGGCCCATCGCCTACTAATTCTCACATGTTTATGGTCGCAGCGGGGTGTACGGAGCAGAGAGGCCCAAAATTGGTGGTTTGACCCCGGGAGCAGTCCTTCGTTGTCTCAGTCTCCTTGAGTGCGTCTGTTTTAATCGGTTCCTCATTCCATTCTACGAAGATGTGTGAAGTTCGAGAAGAGCTTTACACCGAACACGAATCTTTTGCTCTTGGCATAAGTCTACAGCATAACACCTGAAGAACACGCGTTTCAAGTTCAACCAAAAAAAACTCTCCCCGACCTACCCTAAACACTGTGAGCCTGAAGCCCGAAGTCCTATCCCTTCACTAAATGGGAGTTTCCGATAACTAGGGGTACCTTATTTGGGGGTCCTTGTAATAAGTATCCTAGTATTCAGTGTGCTATACGTATTAGTGTCCCCTATTCTCGGAAACTCCCAAATTTCCACGAACAACCGTCGCAAAGTCCTTCCAAAATTCTTGCAGAGGCCTATCAAAAACCTCCGTTCTAATGACTGGACCCGAGACCCGCAACAAAAGCCCATACAGTATTGTTGAAAGAACCACCAAAAGAACCCTAAACCCTAAACCTGTAGCCCTTGGCGCAGGCGAGTCTGAAGCCATCCCGGCCCTTGAGCTCGTCCTGAAGCCCTCCCGGCTTCATTATCACACCCGCCCTTCGAGGTGTAGGTCGTTGAGGATTCGTTTAACCCCCAAGGCTGCAAATAGCCCAAAGTAGTTATATTTTATAGACTGTAAGCCCCAGAGCAGGTACTATCCGCATACTTGGAGTCTCTGGGTGAGGGTGTTGAGATCCTATCATTTGTAGAATAGGGAAGTAGGGTTGTTGGGTTTATTGCAGTTTGATAATTTGATAAGTTGTATTAAGGACCCGAGGAGTTGTACCGGTAAGCCATGAGGTTTAGGGTTTAGATTTGGGCTTCACCGGGTGTTCCTCAGCAATTACTCCTCGGTCTGATTGAATATAGTATAAGCCCGAGTCTTGTTTTGAGTCCAAGGAGGCTTGCTGTTCATCGGTTCTGTGGGTTCATTTAGGGTCCTGTCCAAGATTTAAAAAGCGGTTCGGGGCTTCGAGGAATCCATTCCTTAAGGTGATTGGCCTAACAGCTAAGATGTAGGGTGTAGCGTTTTTCACCTTAGCCGTCTTGACACTGTATTGGGTTTAGGAGCTCTGAAAGTTGCTGGCCCGCAGCTCTAAAGACCGTGATATACAAGGCCTTCGGAGTTTTCTTTGGAGCATAAGGGTATCTGCAAGAACCCTACATGGCCTCATTAAACCTTTGAAAGCCATGAGACTACTTCCTGTACACCCCAAATTTGCTTCAGCTCAGGGTTGTTCTCGATGGGGCGCGTTTAGCTTTTGCGACTCACAGTCTCGAGGGCTGTGTCAAGCGACAGTGTTATGTTTCTGGAAGGGAACATTATAGGGGCCTTGATAACTGCCTATAGTGTTTTGGGGCTTCCTTATTGAACTTCTAGCATAATGGGCTCCAAAACCCCATTCTAATTATCAAGGCCCCTAGATTATATACTTCTCAAAGGCAGGGTGACTGGAGCTATGACTCCTGCTGGTGCCAGTTGAGGCGGTATGGTATCCCTCCCACATCCCTGCTCAGATTCCTGTTGAACGGCTCGGGGAGGTGCGAGTTGAAGATGTGAGTTCATAGGTTTAGTTCTCTAGATCAGGGTGCCGTTTAAGGTCCCAACGGACCCTAAGGGACCTGAATTTAGATAACTAGCCATATGGCTTTTTGCTCTGAAGCCTGCAGCCTTTTGCATGTCTGCAGCAGCCACTGTCCTCGAGGAGGAGTACGACGGATACAGGCACCTGTCGGAGGAGACCGGCAAGTTGGCGTACGTGGACGGCTCGGAAGCACTTGCCCGAGGTGGTGCAGGCGCTCGTGGCAGCCCTGGAGATCGTGAACAAGTGCGATGCCAAAGAGGCGTGGCTGGTGTACGATGGCATGCAAATCAAGGGCATGGATGCATGCTTCAACAGCAAGAAGCCGGAATCTAATGCACTCGGTAGTCCCTACGAAGGTTTCTTAACCTCCACAAGCCATCATTACGTCTGCCCCTTTCGTTTTGTTTGGGGAACACCGTGTCCGAATGACAGGCACATGAGAGTCGGAGCGCCTTGGTCGCACTAGGGGAACGGAGCGGCTGCTCTCTCCAGATCTTTAAGGGCACTTTGTCTGGCCTTGTCGGTTGTCTGCGGGCTTCATGGGGTTGTATTTTGTGGTTCGATGTTCTCTTGTTTTCCTTGGGGGGATTTCATCTCCCGACTGTTCTGCTCATGCTGGCCCCCTAAAGCCGCAACCTTTTCGAACGCTGCGAATGACAGCCTGAAGCCTGAACCCAATCCGTAACCTCCCTAGAGCCTGTGAAACGAGCACACTGAATCTGTTGTTGAAATTTGCCGAAAATCGATGTGAAGTAGGTTTCTGTGAGGGTTATAAGTCTTAGTATTTAGGGTTTGGGGCCTTTTAGGGTTTAGCGTTTGGTAACACTCGCAATACAGGTCAGACTTTAAATCCAGAGGCTGGTAAAAACCCCAAGCCCCCAAACCCATGCCCACTGATTAGGGCTTAGGTTTTAGGGTTTAGGGTTAGTCCCAACGCTCTAGAAATGCCAGGACAAGCCCTAAACCCAGAAAGTCTGCAAGACTGTCAAAGGTCCAAGTGCCTACTAGGAAGCCTATTAGGATATGTTTGGACCCCGTAGATGAATTCGTGTTTATTTGTATATATGAAAAAGCCAACGAGAACCTCTTTGGGCACGCAGACCCTCGGGGTAACAGGAACCAGCACCTTCAAGCTGTTTCTCTCGGCTTCACTTCACAGCCTTTAGCAGCAACACCTAAGCCCCGAAGCCCTGAAAGAACCTGTGCAAATCCCGAACAACCCTAAATCCGGAACCCCAACCCCTGAACCTTCCTGTAGTTCTGCGGCTGAGGAAGAGGCCGAGGTGCTGGCAATCAGCCGCTTTGCCTGGGGCCACGGCCTCAGTTGGTTTAGGGTTTCACGTTTTTTGCCCCGGGCTCCGGATCAGCATCCAGAGCTCAAGCCCGAAACCCCAAGCACCCTAAAACCTAAACCCTAAATGGAGGTTCTCTAATTTGGTAGGTTCTCTGGATCAGTACAGGGGCCTTAGCAATTACCTATATATTAATCTGGGGGCTCCTCATTCGATTCTACTTATAGCAAAATGGGCCCCCAAAACCCTATTCTAATTATTAAGGCGCCTATACTAAGGGAGTCCTACTTCGCGGTCCTCGAAGCAGACACAGTGCTTCTGTTTCCAGGGCAAAACTGTGTAATAACGTCAGATCATTGCTGAAATATCCCTGCACTCGAAAAGAGACTATGCCCTAGAAACCGATTCTTGCCAACAGGAGCTTGGCGCAAGTTACCTTAGCAAAAGAGGGAGTCTGCTGGTTACATGCTATCATGTCTTCATTTATTGGGTTTTAGCCTTTAGGACCATTTAGGATCTTACCTCAGGCTCGCATGGGTGGCCTGCCGCTCACGAACCAAAGTCTCTTGTGCTCTGATCACTCCAACACAAAATGCCTTTGTTTCAGAGCAACCAGGGTTTAGGGTTTAGGGTTTAGGGTTTAGGGTTCTATCCTTACATCCTTAACCCTAAACACTGAAGCCTTCTCCTTTTCAGGCCCGGGCGGTTGTCTGGGTATTGGCGATGAGAAGCCAGTGCCCGCTGACGCGGATGCCTGGAGCTTACAGTGCTTTGTGTTCAATGTTTGGGGATTAGGGTTTAGGGGAGTATGAGGCTTTAGGGTTTTAGGGCTTAGGCTTAGGGATTATAGCGACTAATTAGTGATAAGGGCAATGTCAGCAGCTGTAGTCGACAGTAGCAAGCCCCTAAGCACTAAACCCTAATCCCCTCCTGATAAAGGTGGGGATTAGGGTTCCAAACGGTGGGCTCTCTGGGGTTTCAGGCTTTTGTTTTCTTGGCTTTGAAGTTTAGGGTTTGGGGGAGTAGTTAACTGAAAAGACTGTTTCATATAGCCTCTTATTTTGGGTGATTTAGGTGCTTATAGGGTTTTGCTCGAGAGGTTCCTACATAGGCACTTTGGGGCCAAGTATATGCTGTACAGGTACTCGGACCCTTAAACCCTATATAAGCTCTGCATGCCTAAACCCTAAGGCCTAAACCCCAAGCCCAGGGTCTATAGGCTTAGGATTTAGGGATTGGGGCTTACCCTAGGCTTTAAACCCGAAAACAAAGCCATATCTTCTGACCCGAAGGTTAGCGGCCTACTCTCGTTCAGACGCCATCAAGTTAATGACTCAAGGAAGACAGAAATTTGGGATTGAGGCTCCTCTGATTTAAGCTGGCCGTTGCCGAAATTCCCGAAGTCCAAAACCCTAAAGCCTAAACCCAAAGGCCTCAGCATATAGTCGAGTTCGAAGGCATCCTACTGGGTTCTCGCTTTAAGGGCTTGAGTTTAAGTTACAATAATAAGGAAACCAGAGTATTTAGTTTAGATCCCCATTGTGGCAACTTAAATTAAAGTCCTTAACCCCTAAAGGAACCCCTATAGACCCCTTAAAGGAGCCCTTGTGGATCCCTCAAAGGAGCCCTTACAGATTCCTTAAAGGAGCTATTATAGATCCCTTAAAGGAGCCCAGCCTAAGCTCAGGTTCATCTCCGGGTGCACCTGATGGATATCTTTCCTGCTCCCGGCCAGTGCGGGCGAGCTGAGTGGACCCGGCAGCTGCAGGTGCCATCTAATCTAGGGCCTTGAATAATGACCAATAGGGTTCGTTGAAAGGGTTCCTTTAAAAGGATCCTATAAGGGTTTCTATAAGGGTACTATGATATGGGGGCCTCAATAGCTACCGATAGTATCTGAGAGGTTCCTTATTGCAATTGTAGTATAATGGGCCCCAACATCCTACTCTAATTATTAAGGCCCCTGTATTACTGAATTGGAGTGGTGGTTCAGGTGTTTGGGATTTGGGGCTAGGGTTTGCAGGTTGTTTTGCTGGGGTTGGGGTGCAGCAGGTGGGGTGCAGGGTTCAAATTTGGGTGTTGCAAACTCTTGCGGGGCTCGTTTTCGCCAGCTCGAGCCTACGCCAAGATTTGCCTGGATGTTTGGTCGTTTCCAGACTTTCGGGTGCAGTCTCGAGTGTTAGGACTTAGGACCCTGACCCTCGAACCCTAAACCATCAAATCCTAAACCGTTAGTAATTAGACGTAGAATTTCAATACCCTAGGCCTTGAGTTGCAGGAGCTGGAGTGGCGAAAGTCGAATGGCAACGACCACTTCAAGCGGCAGACGCTGGGCTAATAGAAGGGTTCGAAATGCCCAAGGCTCAATATAAACCAGAATCCTTGAGTTTTTTTGTGCCTTGTATAGTATGGACGTTGGGCCCACAGCATTATTGTATGCGTCCTTAGGAGAAGTAATTAAGACAAGGATTTGAAACCCTACGGCTCCTCCAAATCCCCAGGGGTCCAAAGGACTCAATAATGAGGTACTTGGGTTTAGGATCGTAGGTATGTAGCTTCGGATTTTGGAGAGTATATGATTATTTGGTACAGTACTTGGGCCCTTTAAACCCTAGACCCTAAACCCTAAACCCTCAATGCCAAGGTAGGTACAATTCATAGACTCATCGACTTTCGATCCCCAAAGGGGGGGGGGGTTCCGAAAAATGGTGGATCCTACAAAAGGTACTCTAAAAAGTAGTGTCCTCATTATAAGGACCCCAAAATAAGGTACCCCCTAATTTTTGGAAACTCCCAAATGTGTACTATTTGCATGCTTGGAGTCTTTGGGTTCAAGAAGTCGGGTAAAGACTTTCTGCTCAAGTTCACCCTATCGGGTTCAAGATGTCGGATTTACAGACCCTTGGTTGTGTTTAGGGCTTAGGGGGTTTAGGGTTTAGGGTGTTGTCCGCAGAATCAAGTCTGTCTCTGCTTCTTCGAGGAACTGGGCGGCTGCTGCCCGCTGCTATGAGAGGGGCATGGAGGCTCTATGCATGAGTAATTGAAGCTCAGGGTTTTTTTATGAAGTTCTGCGTTTAGGATAGGGCTGTATGGTCCATTTTGTGCATGGTATTTGTTCTTTCAGTGTTTTTAGGATTCAGAGGATGCACATCGCCTTGAATGAGGAAGGAGGAAGCATTATAAACTGTATTGCCTTATGACATCAGCCTGGTGCAAGGTGCCGTGAAAGAGGCCTCGGTTCCCGCGAGGAGGCAGGAAGCACGGCCGTTCTCTGTGTGTGAGCCCAGTCAGACTCAATCTTACAATGAGGAGAAATGTGTGGTGAGCCCGGTCTGGGTCTTCGGCTCCGATAGCGATGCCAGCCGCGTGAAGCTGGCGGAGTACCTCGAGATGCAGGCCTAGAAGAGCCTAGAGAAGGCTGTCCGAGCCAAGCTCCCGACTTCAAGGGGCAGGATACCAAGCAGTCTGCCATCGATGAGTGGACTTCCAAGTTCAGCCGGTTGGCAGATGGCTTCAACAAGCTCCTCGCGAGCACAACAAGACATGGAACCCCAGCGACATCCTGTAGAAGGGGGAGATGAAGCGGACGAGTGTGTTGAAGACGGAGGACGATAGGGACAGGGATCCTGCAACACGGCTTGAGGTGAATACTCCTTTTCCCCCGAATAATAAAACGTATATTAGGGTAGGCTTTAATACTACAGTAAACCCCATAAAGTTGGAAACCAGCAACAGGCCGAAAAGTGCTGGGATTCCCTATACATTACTCTTGAGGATTGAGGCTACGGGGTCTCCAACTTTTGGGGCTTTCACTGTAGGTCTTAATATTAGGGGGAAGGGATTACCTTGCTTGCAGAAGACCTGCAGGCCTCTCAGAAGCAGGACCTTCTCAGGTTCTCGAGCACCCTGGTCACCAGTGCTAAAAGGTACGATTTGTTGCCGTTGCTTTTGGCTTCGAAATGGTGCATCAGTGCTGAGAACATAAATCTGGTGCCGTACAAGGGAGCTGAATCTACCTATGGTTTCCATTGTAGTTCCTTTTTTTGGTTAGCCAAAAGCTCTATTGTAGGATCCTAACAAAAGGAACTACAATGGAGACGAAAGGTAAGAAAACAACTTCCCCAAACCCCATGAGAACCCCCGAGCCGGAGATTTCGTATAGCAGACCGAAGCTGGCAAACACTCATTTAAGTTTGTTTTGGTATGTGGACCTTAAACACTATACCGCACAGCCCCCAAGACGGTGTAGTACCCTGATGAAGCTGTGAAAGAGCCCTTTTATACTAGAAGAGACACCCTACTGAGAATACTGTGGGATACCCTATGACAACCATACTTCTTTAGAGAGCTGGAGCATCCAAGTTTTCAGATAGTACGCTGTTAGGTCGGTCCCACGAACTATGCACTGGATTCTTTCTGGAATCCTTGCTATTTGGATACTTGGAGCCCTGGGTACAGTAAACTCCATAAAGTTGGAAACCGGATTAAAGCCAAATAGTGCTGGGATTCCTTGTACATTACTCTTAAGGACTGAGGCTTTTGGGTTTTCAACTTTTTGGCCTCTAGGGTTTAGGGTTTAGGGTTTAGGGTTTAGGGTGAAATATAGCTCCCCTAAACCCTAAATCCCCAATCCCTGAACTAGGATCCTGAAGTCTAAAGCCCTAAACCCTAAAGCACCAGAACCTACCCCAAAGCCCTATGAACCCTAGGAACCCTAAAGCCCTATGAACCCTAGGAACCCTAAAGCCCTATGAACCCTATGAACCCTAAAGCCCTATGAACCCTATGAACACAACAACCCTAAAGCCCATTAACGCTAAGCTTTCTGTATTTTGTGGAAGATGTAGCTAGTCAACTGCACCTACCGTCATTCATTGGCTCAAGAAAATATGCGTCTGCATTCTGGCTGTTCTGCCTGTAAACATAGGTTATCAGCCGTAGGTCTCACTTCGTTTGTAGATCGCGATGGATGCTCCCGTAAATCCTGCAGGTATTCCCGCGATAGACATTTCCGCGGCTCGCATCGAGACCGAGGATCTCAGTTCTCTTCCTGCCATGTCCGTCCAAGACGATGGCACGGATCAGGCTGTCCCCGGTACCCGAGAGGGTGGCCAAGTTGTTCCTCTGACGGCAGAGACCTTGGCCGTGATGGCCCAAACAGATCCCCGAAGAGGTGCACCAGGAGCGGTGTCAGAATGGGCCTATGTCTCAAGCCCAGCGCACCAACTCGCATCCCTGGCGGGATCGCCTCAACAATATAATTCGGCCCAATATTCACCCAGCGAGGTCAGAAACGTCGCGAACTACTATCAACAAAATGTCCTTGCGCCAACGGTGCAACAAGCAGTCCATGTGCATCAAGTAGACACAGGACCAGCCGTTGCAGCTGAAGCTGAAGCACGCCACAGATTGATCATGGCAGAAGCAAACAATTTGCATAGGGAGCAATTCAACCAGCTTCATGCACAGGCGCTATCCGGTGCTGCCCAACTTCGGTTGGAGTTTGCCCAAGCGGAGAGTCGTCTGCAACAGAAAGAAGAAATGCTTCGAGCAGCCGGCGAAAGCATGGCTAATAAACACAGCGACGAGTTGTCGCAGATGCGACGTGAAGCCATTGACTACAAGCTCAGGCTTCATCAGGCTGAGGTTACAGTCTCCGACGTTGTAGCCCAAGCTGAAAGAGAGCTGGCTAATCGAAGTCGGGCTAGCCAAGACACCGTTGCAGTCATGAATGGCGAACTAAGCCAACTCAAGTCTGAGATGGGTGCATTCATGCAAGTGCATCGCCAACAGGCTGAGTCGATGACGAAGCTTGAGCGCACCAATGCGGAGCTTCGTGATCGCCTGGCGAAAGCCACGGCATATTCACCAACTGCCGTAGGAGATCAGTCTCCCATTGAACACCCTATTCATACCCCTCCGGGTTTGGGTAAAGTAGATGGTGGTCCGCCAGGCGGAGGTGGAGGTGGAGATGACTCGCCTCCCGAAAGCGACGGCGACGGGGATGAGCCCGAAGACGATTCCCGTGAAAAGAAGAAGAAAAAGAAAAAGGACAAAAAGAAGAAAAAGAAAAGAGACTCATCTGATTCATCATCATCGTCGTCTATTTCCCTATCTAAAAAGGACCTCCTGAAGATGTTCAAGAAAGTCGTTAAGTCCAAGAAAGACAAGGACGATGACGAGGAAACCGAGGCGACAAGGGGAAGGCCTAAGGTAAAGGAAGCTGAGAAGATTGTGTTTCCGAAGTTTCCCCAGCCAGAGAACTATCGTAACTGGAGGCTTCGCGCACGCGAGGCTGTGGTCGCCGCCTCTGACCGTCCCGATGAGGCTTTCGAGTGGCTCGGTGAAGTGTGGAAGGATGATACCACGGAAGAGTCCCTTCGTGATCCTAACGGATTTACAACGCTTGATGCGAAGATCCTCTCGGCAATCACAAACATTCTGGAAGGTGATTTTGCTCGCCAGATTGACATTTTTAAAGAGAGGGAAGGGCACGAAGGTCGCTTAGTTCGTGGCCGTCAGATTCTGCATAAGCTCAATGCTTATTTGTCGACCAACGCACTCCACGGGTCTGTGTACGATATGGAGGATCTGCTCAATGTCGTCATGCTTAACGAAAACCTTGTACAATTCGTGCGTAACTGGGACACTGTTCTCTCAGGCATGAAGAAAGCACCTGCTGACGATGTTTTGCAACCCTTGTTTCATAGACAGGTTAAGAAGTGTAAGCTTTTGGCGCACGACATCGCCATCTATGAAAGGGCAGTAGACGGCACACAGGAGAAATCCTATGAGTATTTGTACAATGCCGTTAACCGGGTCATCAAGATCAAGCGGCTTGAGCGCAACCGGGAACGGATTGCAAGGCAGGCCGCAGCAGGTATGCCATCGGCACCCGCACCGCTAAAGCGTGTGCCCAAAGGCTTCTGCATTGACTTTGTTCGGAACGGTTCGTGCAACAAAGAAAAATGTTCCTATAAGCATCAGATACCCGAGAAGCCACGTGGTAGGACACCAAGCAAAGGTAAAGGCCGAGGCAAGTCGCCCTCCGGAAGGGGGAGCCCATCTCCTGGGAAGATTAATGCCGAGTGCAAATTCTTCAAGCATGGCAAATGCAACAAGGGTGACAAGTGCCGTTTCATACACAAAGGCCAGCCTTCTGCTCCTTCCACTGGTAGCGGTAGAGAGTCTAGCGGCGAAAAGAAGAGTAAGAAACAGAAGAAAGAAAAGAAGCATAGGAAGAAGTCTCGTTCCAGCTCTAAAAGTTCCAAGGGTAGTGGAGGCTCCAAGGGGAGCAAAGGCTCTGGGAACAGCAAGGGCTCGGGGGGGCGGAAACCTAAGGCTTCGCTTCCTGCCGCCGTCTGCCTCTTAGGCGCACTTGTTGCAGGTTCGGCATCCCAAGCCGATGCACACGCTTTCCGGAAGGAAATGCCGAACTACATTGACTCGTGTGCAAGCACCGCTCACGTTGCTCTGGCATCTGTGCGATTCTCGAATGCTCCTGAGTATCACTATATTCCCACGCCCCCTGAATCTTCCAAGTGGCGTGAGGTTGAAATCGAGCCGAGGGTTTTCAGTGAAGAATTTCCTGTTAACTACAAGCCCAAACCTGATGGGCAGGATGTTCGGGATGCTTTGGCGACAGCTAAGATGCTGAGGTCAACCGTTGAAGGTATGAACCAAGGTACGAATCCAGCATGTAAGTTCATGTGTAAGACTGAGTTCGGTTGTGCTCATTGCATTGCGCCCGGCATATCTGTCGGATGCCCAGCAAAGGGGAGCAGGTCAGATCCTGTGATTGAAATGGAATGGATTGCCGACACTGGCAGTGCTCAGGATTTGATATCGAAAAACGTTCTCGGTGATGTAAAGGATTTCTTGTCGGATCGGCCTATCAACATGATTACCGCCAACGGACCTAACTATGCTGACAAACAATGCAAGGTTAGGATTCCTTCGATCAATACGACCGCCGAACCATATGTTCTACCCGATTCACCATCCGTTCTCTCGGTTGGACAGA